AGGCGCTGGGCACCAGGAAGGGGCGGAGAGGACAGGACGGGTCTGCAGAGGCGCTGGGCCCAGCACCCACCTGGGGCCGCGTCAGGATGACCATCCTCACCAGGTGCACTCGGAACTGGGCGCCCAGGGACGGGTCCCTCAGCAGTTCCGACGCCTGTGGATGGGCAGACGGAGAGTACACGTGGGTGGGGGAGCCGCCCCCAGCAGCTGCTGACTTCCAGGGCCCTCAGGGACGGGCCTGGAGAGGGTGCTCCTCAGCGTGGTGGGTGGGGGCACCCCGAGCGCTGGGCCTTGGGCTGGGACCCAGCCAATTCACCGTCCTTCCTCATCCTCGCTCATCTTCAGGAAACAGCTTTCTCTCCACGTCCCCTTGCGTGATCTGCCCATGCCCAGGTGGCATGATGCCCCCGAGAGCCCTTGTCATTAGTCTAGAACATTCCATCCAAACACTGCTCTGTCCCAGCCGATTCACCGTCCTTCCTCATCCTCGCTCATCTTCCGGAAACAGCTTTCTCTCCACGTCTGCTTGCGTGACCTGCCCATGCCCAGGTGGCATGATGCCCCCGAGAGCCCTTTCCTGGCCCCCCTGCCCCCGTGGGAAGGCCCCCGGGTTCCCAGCTCCCGCCACACGCCTGTCAAGATGCTGACCCTGGTTGACTTGTACTTGGTTCTTGCGCCAGCGTGTCCGCTAACTGAGGCGTGGCTGTCCCTGGCCTCGGCTGACCCGCGTCCGATCCGGGCTCCTCGCTTCCCACCTGTTAACTAACCTCGAAGCCTCGGTTTCCTCATCTGTCCAATGGAGATACGCCTCCGTGGCTGCTGCTGGACGTGGGCACCACGCAGCTGGCACAAGGGGATGGCAGGGGCCACTACCATGACCACCCTCTGGGCAGGAGCCAGTCTGGCACCCACCGCCCAGCTGTCCTCGGTCCTCGTAAAACACGGGACTGGCCCGGGAGCTGGGCTCGCTGACCACATTTCCGCAGGTGAGACAGGGGAGGCGCCCAAAGCTTGAACACACAGCTCCCAAGGGACCGACAGGAACTGTGTGGTGTCCTAAGCTCATTCTAGCCCTGAGCCAGGTCTGCAGGGGGCCGGCCTGGGGGTGCGGCCTGAGGCTGGGGACCAAGTGGTGCTAAGTGCCCCGCACTCTAGGGGGCGGCTTATAGGGGGCAGCACCAGCCAGCACCTCACGCACCCCCCCTCTGCAGCAGGCCTGGGTCAGTCAGCGAGATTCCGTTCCTTAATGTCCCTGAGCCCTTTAGCCAGAGCCGTTTCCACGGTGAGTGTGACCCGTAGGTTTCCATCATGTCCGCCT